GTGGCCAGCCAGTGTATATATTTTTTTAATTTTATGTATTTATATATTTTAGTAAGTAATAAAATTAAATTATAATTAAGAATAACACTCTACTATTGCACTATTTATATTTTTTTATATACAAATAAATAATTAATATGTATTTGTATGAAATAAATAGTTTTATTTTATACAAATTATACAAATTTTTTTTTTCTAGTTCTTGATATTAGCATATGTGTATTTGGTATATCTGCCTTGACTTTTAAAACATATTTAATTATTTAAATGTCCTTTTTTTTACACCACAGTTTACTGTAATTTTATTTACATTAATTTCACAGGACATTTTGCTGGGGCATTCATTAACAATTCATTAACAATCAAACGATGTCTCTCAAACAATGTTTAACAGAGCAAGGAATTTTTCACAGCGTTTCCTATACGATTTTTTTCTTCTTCTGGAGAAAGTCTTATTTGTTTTATGTCGGCTAGAATAAAAGCAGCTTTAAATAAAAATAATAATAATAATAATAATAATTTTAAGGTCAATATTATTAGCCCCCTTAAGCTATTTTCAGATTGTCTACAGAGCAAACCATCATTATACAATAACTTGCCTTGATAACCTAGTTAAGCCTTTAAATGTCACTTTAAGTTGAATACTAGGGTCTTAAAAATATCCAGTCAAAGTTTATTTACTGTCATCATGGCAAAGATAAAATAAAGCAGTTATTAGAAATGAGTTAATAAAACTATTATGATTAGAAATGTGTTGAAAAAAATGTCTCTCTGTTAAACAGAAATTGGGGAAAAATACACAGGGGGTGGCTAATAATTCTGACTTCAGCTGTATGTACATTCAGAATAGATGTTAGAAGGGTGTTTACTATTAATGACTGTAGTATTTATTGGTGTGCAGTGTCCTCAGACAGTTGTCCGGCAGTAAACAAGGGCATCTGTGAGTGTTTTGGTCTGGCCATCATAAATCTGCAGTGAAGGTGAAAGCCAAAGGCAGCGAGCGTTTCAAGAGCTCTACATCTCGCCGGCGGTTATTAAAAGATTTGTTTCAGGAGTTTTTTTGTATGGCTCAGTGTCATGGAGGATAATAACATCTCACACCCGCTGACTCCTCTCTGATCTGTCAGACTCTTTACTAACACCATCACTCAGATACACTGGACAGTCTGCTGCCTATGTAGGGAACATCCTGAATGATTTGAGAGACTTTCAAAAATCTCTTGTCAAACAGGAGACTCGACTAACAACTCATTTAAGTTTGGTAAAATCATGCTATCCAAGATTATTATTATTGTTTTTAACTAACCAACTGCTGAATAATTAGATCTAGATCTTATAATATGTGTGTATTATTTTATATAGGAGTATTTGTAGGTATTTATTATATAATATCATTTATCCCCCTTCGTACACAAAATACTCCATTACCCTCATTATAATCCAAAAGCATTAGTTCACACACACACACACACACACACACACACATACTCACACAGACACACACACACACACACACACACACACACATACACACACACACACACACACACACACACACACACACACACACACACATACTCACACAGACACACACACACACACACACACACACAGACACACACACACACACACACACACACACACACACAGGCACACACACACACAGACACATATATTTTTTCAATTTTTTTTATAAATTAATAACAGTCTAATTTAATATTTTAACATTAAATCTTTTTTATTTATTGTTTTTAACTAACAATATACACCAAACTTACCTTACCTTAGCATTTTTATATATTTAAAAATAAAATAAAAATATTTTGTAGTAAATATTATATTACTAAAGGAATATTTTGGTATTTATTGTTATGTTTATAATTATTGTATATTAGTACATTTTTCTAAAGTTTTTCATGTTTCGTTGTATTAATAATTAGTAATTAAATTTAAAAAAATATTATTAAGATAATTTTTATTAATTATTATTTATTTTATAAAAGAATGATAATAATAAATAATACAAAAAATAAAAATCCTCTCACTTATACTCCAAAAAACATTGGTCCAGAGCTGATGATTTGAGAGTATAAGTGAGATGAAAATAAATAATAACAAATTTGAAATAAATATTAAATAAATACTTAAAAAAAGGCAAATTATTTTTAATATATTACCTTTTATTTTTTCATTAATTAATAATGTTGTAAAAAATTTATTATAATGTTTAAAATTAAATGATCAGTTATAATTTACTGTTTATAAATTAATAATAATATTATAATAAGTCTTTGTTTATTATAAATAAGAAACAAAATATTGATAATAATGCATTAGCATGTAAGTAATTTTTGTAATTATAGTAAAAAAAATGTGTATATTATTATTAGTATTAGTATTAGTATATACAGGTGAAGTCTGAATTATTAGCCCCTCTTTGATTTTTTTTATGTTTCCTAAATGTTGTTTAACAGAGCAAAGAAATTTTCACAATATATTTAAAAATATTTTATCTTCTGGAGAAAGTCTTATTTGTTTTATTTCGGCTAGAATAAAAGCAGCTTTTAATTTTTTAAAAACCATTTTAAGGACAATATTACTAGCCCCTTTAAGCATTTCCCCCCCGATAGTCTACAGAACAAACCATCGTTATACAATAACTTGCCTAATTACCCTAACCTGCCTAGTTAACCTAATTAACCTGTTTAAGCCTTTAAATGTCTCTTTAAGCTGTATAGAAGTGTCTTGAAATATATCTAGTCAAATATTATTTACTGTCATCATGGCAAAGATAAAATAAATCAGTTATTAGAGATGAGTTATTAAAACTATTATGATTAGAAATGTGCTGAAGAAATCTGCTCTCCATTAAACAGTGATTGGGGGGAAATAAACAGGAGGGCTAATAATTCTGACCTCAACTGTGTGTGTATATATTTCATTAGAATTTTCTCAAAAACAAAATCATTACATAAATATATCAGTCCTTATACAGGAAGCTGAACACTGAGTTGATTTCATTTGCTTATATGGCATTAACATGCAACTGATGTTATAATGTAAAATGTACCTGTAAAAAGGAATAAAACAGATTCATATTTTGTTATTTCATTATATAAACCTCAGTATTGAGCAGCTGGTTTGCCAATGGCCTGAAATTTAAAGTCAAATTACTGACATTTAATGCTGATTATTTAATCATTCCAGTTCAACCAGCTCTAAATGTGCTGAATTAACGTTTAATTAAAGTCATTGTCATTCTTTCCCTCACAAACACATCTCTTTATATGTAAATTAAGCTCATTATAGATTACACATATTCGCAGACGTCAGTGCTGTTTGATTGCTGCAATTAAAGCATGCCAGATCACAAAATTAATCATCATGAATCAATATTTATTGACAGATTTTTGAAGACATTACATTTTTGTGGCAGATATTTTTAATAGACATTATACAGACATTAGACATTAATAACATTAACACGAAAAATGTTTATTAGGTTATTAAATGGCTTTAGATGCATTTGAAAAATCATAATACATTGCCATTTATTTATTTATTGTGATTTACTTAATGAACTATTCAGTTAATTCAGGTTAAACTTTGACCAAAATAGTTTTATTATTATTGTAATTATGTCAAAAGTTGTGTTTCGTATACAATTATAACATATAATTTAATTATTTAATGGCAGTCTGGGTTTAATAAAATTTATCTTTAGGATGTTTCTATTTTTACCTCAAGCAAAGACATGTACGTATTACATTGCAAATGTTATTTTGTAAGTAATGTAAATACCATATTTTACATGTAAATATACAAGTATTAAAGATGTTGTTATATTAAGTATATTTATATTTGTAAATTATATTTATTAAAACACTGTCCCAACATACTGAATCAGCATTTTATTTATTTATTTATTTTGCTGTGTTTATTTTTTTACTTGATTTTTCAATTTTATTTAATAAATTTAATTTACTACTTAATTTATTTATTTCAATAAGTTAATTTATTTTATTTTATTTATGTAGTTATTTTACTTATTTATTTTTTTGTTTATTTTATTAATTTGCTTTATTTTTATTTTCCATTTTTATTTTACATTATTTTTTTATTTAACTTTATTTAACTTTATTTTTTAATTTTATTTAAAACAACTTAATTTATCTTACTTTATTTATTTATATTTTTTTCATTTATTTTAATGAAATTAATTTTATTTTACTTTAACAATATTTAATTATCTCTTATTTATTTTATTTTATTTATTTATTTTAATTATTTATTTTTTATTTTGATTATTTTTAAGTTACTTTATTTTTTCTTGTACTTTATTTATTTTTTTAATTAACTTTTTTTATTTATTTTAATTTATTTGTTCATTTACTTATTTATTTTACTTTTTTTTACTTTATTTATTTAGCTATTTCTTATCTCTCTATTTATTTTTTTTATTTTTTTTACTTATTTAATTTATTTAGTTAATCTTTATTTATTTATTTTTAAAAATATTTATATAATTTATTTTAAATGAAATTCTGGACCTCAACATGAATTTATACCTATTTTGTATTATTTATTTGATAATTTATGTCATATACATTTTTTTATTTTATTTTAGATTTTTATATTATTATTATTATTTGAATATAATAAAATATCCATTTGTTTAACATTTCTTAATGGCTTTATGTTTAGTGTGTTTTGTGTCCTCTTCATTGTACAGCACCAGTGGTCCTGCATATGTAGGGAGGTCGTTAGATTTTGATGCAGATCCAGACGACACACACACACACACACACACACACACACACACACACACACACACACACACACACACACACACGCACACACGCACACACAAACACACATACACTGTTCGCTGGTTATATGTCTTCCAGCAGCTTGTTTGCTGGTGTCTTAGTGGTCTGTTGTTTCTAACACCTGGTCTGGGTTGGCCCTCTCCTCGGGTTGGCCCTCTCTGTGTTTTCCAGAGCCAGGCTTTGGCCCACTACAAAGGCACCAAACATGCCAAGAAGCTCAAATCCTTGGACGCCCCCAAATGCCTGAAACACAAGAGCTCCTCAGCAAGCAGGGAAAACACCAACAAGGAGCTTCCCAAAGGCCTCGTGCCCTCTACAGTGGCCTACAGTGAGGACAGAAAAGGTAAGAGATCAGTGAATGTTTATATTACTGTCATTGCTTACGCTTGCTGAAATAAATCGAAAACTAGAATGGTTTCCAATGCAAAATGAACGCTGAATCCAATGCAAAATCAACAAAAAAATCTTAATTTAAATGCAAATATTTGCAAAAAAAATTCCATAATTTCATAAAACGTCCAATTTTAAATCATATAATTAAATTATATTTATTTCAGTTTGCAATTCATTGTTTTACATGACTTAAAGACGTCGCATACGCAGAGCACATGATGCATGATGTCTCTCGAAAAATGACGTCTCACCCGCGCCCTCACAAGCCAAACATTACCTGAAAGTAAGGGGAACTGTTTTGCAGCCTGTGAAGTAAGCAGATGCGCATGACGCACAAGTGATTTACATGTGAAGTCATGCAAAGTTGGGATTAGAAATCCTTTGGTGCAAATCGAGTTTTCGATGACTCGGTGTGAATTGGGCTTCAGACTGCAAAAGAAAATGGAAGCAAACATCTAACAAACGGAGCAACAGAACAGACAAAAAAGCAAGCAGCTTACAATGAAGGAGATTGATTCAAGGATGACGGCCTCAGAACATGACTGAATTATTCATTTTACTTTACATGTACGGCTGGTATTATGATATGCGTCAGATTGATAAATGATTTCGTTTAACTCTTTCCCTACCGTTGATGAGAGAAAACGCCACCCTGCCATTGATGAGTTTTACGGCAATCCGTGTTTTAGGTGTATTAGGGCAGAAGAAGCCCTAACGCATGTCCTGAGTTAGGTACACGATGTCAGATGCTACAGGGAGTGAAATCTGAGAAAGATCCACTCTGCAGATCTCTCGCATGCACCCATACTGAATGTAACACCAAACCATAATTTTCCCTTCACCAAACTTGACTGATTTCTATGAGAATTTGGGACCATGCGGGTTCCAGTAGGTCTTCTGCAGTATTTGTGATGATTGGGATGCAGTTCAACAGATGATTCATCAGAAAAATTGATATTTTGCCACTTTTCCAAATGATTAACTAGAAGTCAAGTTGTTATTTGTTGCTCGAACAACTGGGATCGACGACAAGACTTTTGTCAGGTAGTGTAAAGTGAGGCCGAGATTATTTCAACCACAAAGTGCATGAGGCAAAACTCTACATTGCACAGATTGGCACTAAAATGGTTGAGTTTTGCTTAGAAATTGTGACCACACATCTCATGACTGAGAGATTTCATAACTGCAACCCTGATTTGGTGAACCACCCAGAATGTCCCAGAACGTTTTACACCAGCGGAGATCCCTCAGAAAAATGTAGGAATCTGTTTGAGTTCTGCTTTTTATTGCCGTTTTGTGCTACAGAGGAAACATTCATCAGGTTTCCCCGGACAAGACTTGACCTCCTCTTCTATTTCTGTCACACAGATCTCTCTCTCTCTCTCTGAACTGGAAACAAGAAATATGTTCCAGGACTCAGCTTAAAGGCTGTATTTTATATCCTAGGCAAGCGTCTTGCTGTAATTTGGTTGATATTACACCAGTGCAGTACTTTATATTCATGCGCATGATGGAAAATAGCACCTCTTTTCGTTGACCTCTCCTGGCCTTCTCAGCGAAGTCAGGTTAGATGTAGTGGGAGAAATAAGTATTGAACACGCCGTGTTTTTTTTCTCTGTGTAATATTTCTAAAAGAGCTGTTGACATGGAGTTTTTACCAGATTTTGGTAAAAACCCAAACAATACAAGCATAAAAAATAAAACTAAACTAAAATCTGAAAGAAAAAAAAATATTTATGTGTAATGACAACCTGATCTCACGAGGAAACGTAAGTATTTTATGTTTTGTCAGTTTAGTGGCTAATTCGTACGAATTCGTACGAGTTCAGTCGTACAAAAATTGTACGATTTTAAAAAGGAGGCGTGGCACTCAACCCCACCCCTAACCCCAATCATCATTGGGTGATGAGCAAATCGTACTAAATTGTACGAATTCATAGGAATTAGCCAGTAAATCAAAAAGTTACGAATTGCCGTGAGATTGCGTTGGTAATGACAACGGAAAGACTCAAGCAAAAACTACTGAACTATTGAAATGTATTTAATACTTTATATATAGGACTGTTTTGGTGATTGCAGCTCAGCAGTTTCCACAGGTTTGAAATGTAATTGCAGTGGTAGGCAGCGTAATGATATTCGAGACCTGCAAGACCTATGAGATGGACCGAGAGAAGAGGAGATGGAAAAAAAGAAGGAAAGACAGAGTAGACTGAGAGAGGAGAGCTAGGCAAAAAAAAAAAAAAAAATTGGGGCTCTGTTCTCCAGACACGCTGGTCCTCCACCCGTTGAGAGATCTGACGATGTGTTGGGAGCCCTGTTAAGGAATCTAAACACCCGTCCGTCTTCTGCTGTCCGGTGGCGGTTCTCCTGGCATGTGGCATTCCTGCCCTAGTAGCAAAGAATTCTGGCCCAGATTTGGCATAAAGCTGGCACAGCAGGCATTCATCCGGCACTGGCATACAGCATGTGGGCCAAACATGGCCCGGGTTTGGCAGAGGTGGCACCATCTTTAAGGCGGCACACAAGATTTGGGCCAGATGAAAAACGTAGTATTTGGCCCAGATTTAAAAATTTGATAAGTGGGCCATGTGAGTTTGGCCAGTCTTGACCCACATTTAAAATACACTAAAATCATTTTTGAATAAAGAAAAAAAATTCTACCAATCAGGTCACTTTGAGAAAAAGCGTGCCCATAGTGTGCCTAAAGCGCATCACTCCATGGGTTTATCAATTTCATTGCAATCGTGACACACCAACCTATCTGGCCCAGTTCAGGCCCAGTTATGAGTTATTAACTTGGCTGAGACTTGGCCCAGATATGGTCTGTGTTTGGCTTTTGTCTGGAAGCCAGATTTAGTCCAGTCATGTACCGTAATTCACTGCTGCATGTGGGCCAAGCAAAACCTGATTGTGTGGGCCAGAGCTGGACCAGAGAAATTTTGCTATGTGGGTGGTCTCCTGCTCTGCTCCTGCTTTAGTGAACGGAAGCAGGCTTTGGCATCATGGCGTATGACGATGACTCCCCTGGCCTCTTTGCGATGGCTCTCTTCAGCACTTACTTCCAGTGGTGAGCCCCGCATCCCCTGCTCCTTCCCATGCCGGGAACAGGCAGATCTTTTTGGTGGTTCGGCGGTATAGGTTGCGTATATGGAGGATCGGCTCTTTAAGGTTTATTGCCACCCTTCATAGAAAGACTGAAAATACGGGAGAAATACAGAAAAATACCTTTATAGGTTGACATCTAGATAGAACTGTGAAATACAGGAGAATCCCGGAAAAAAACGGCAGGGTTGAAGGTATGGCATGAGACGGTTGACAGTTGTAGGCAGTAGCCTACAAAACCGGTTAATCAATTGCATTATTTATATTATTAAAACCATTACATGGCTATCTTGGGCAGATACAAAACAAGTGTAAAAGAATGATAATAATAGTTAAAAAGAAAAAAAGATGTTATCAAATATACTTGGGCGGCCATTAATATACCCAGGCGACCCACCCAAGTAAAGTCTATGTGTGGGAAGCACTGCAGCTTAAACATGCCTCTCATATGGAGAATGAAGTCACATGTCACAGACAAAAATCTTGAGGGTTCTGTGGGTTTTGTCTATCAAATCTGATCTTTATTTTGTATTTTATATAGGCTAGGCCATTCTACAGCTTGATTTTCTTCCTCTGAAAGCATTTGAGTATCTCATTGGCTGTGTTTTGCATCATTGTCTTGCTGAAATGTCCACCCTGGTTTCATTTTCATCCTCCTGTTAATGTAGATGTTGGACTGAAGCAGCTAATATTCATTTACAATGACAAAGGGCAAAGGATTGCTGAGATTTAAGCTGCTGTCTGAGCTATCCGTGTATTTCTGCAACTTCCTTCCCTCATCTGTTTTATTTTTTTCCCTCCGTCATTTCATTTTATTACAAATAACTTAATTTGAAAACTAGTTTTGTTTTCTTTACATATATGGATTTCTTTGGTTGTTAACATCTACTGAAAATGTAAACTTTCGAAATATGTTTTCTCCTGTAGAAATATGTTTTCTGAGAAAAATAGTGGCTCTTTGACAGGATCCAAACCAAACAACATCCTCTCCTTGTGTTTGTTAGCGAGCCAGAGGTTGGCTATGTATACTCTACAGGATTACAGCTGGAGTTTCAAGCCATAAAACCGTGTACGTAAGCAAATGGTGGAATTATGTACTCTCAACACACGTCTGGAACCTGTTCTGGAACCAGTAATTTACTGCACTTTTTGTGTTCTGCTTGTTTAGGCGCAGCAGTAAAGCTCACCCAATCAGAATGCCTTATTTGTGCTCAAACACCTGGTGTAATGTAATTTGCAGCATTTTAAGGCAAAAGTGTAGCCTGAAGTCATAGAGACACTCCATCACAACCATTATTGTCTTATAAAGCAATGGCTCAGCTCTGTGAGCCTGAGGAAACGGGGTTTTGTTTAGACTGGTGGATGCAACAGCAAACATATAAACACAAAGATGCACTGGCGTCAGCAGTTTGTGCAATTCATAACAACATCATTCTGTTAGCAGCAGTTGTACTTGTCAACACTTTGGGATGAATTCCGGAAACACTTGTAAGGATCTTACATGCAATCTTTCAGTGGGGGAAAAACGTTGTAGAATTATTAGACCTCCTGTTAAATTTGATTTCTTTCATATTTTTTTCCCCCAAATTTGTGTTTAACAGAGATTTTTTTCAACACATTTCTAAACATAATAGTTTTAATAACTTAATTCTACTAACTGATTTATTTTAACTTTGTCATGATAACTAAACAATATTAGACTAGATATTTTTCAAGACACTTCTATACAGCTTCAAGTGACATTTAAAGGCTTAACTAGGTTAACTTAACTAGGCAGGTTAGGGTAATTAGGCAAGTTATTGTATAATGATAGTTTGTTCTGTAGACTATCAAAAAAAATGCCTAAAG